TCCCCGAACAAGCACCTTTCGAAAATGCACTTGTGCTGAAAACAATATTACTTGTCCCAATATTATTACGCAATAATCATAAAAAATAACACAAGAGTAATTATTTTTGCTATGGCATTGATCACGAAAAAATGTTTTCTATTTTTAATTCAATTACTGTATAGTTCTTTATTTAATTTGATAGAATTTCAATAATGTAATATATGGAAAATTCAAATAAAATAAACATTATTAATAATATTCTATATATGTGGGAGTGTGTTGATCGTTTTCCTATTGAGTGTTTACGTCGTCACGACAAATGAAAGTAAAAATACCTCAGGCATCGTTATTCCCAGGATACGGTACACCAGTTCTCTGTCGCTGACATGACGTTATTTGGAGAAGGGGGTGGCCATATTGTAATGTAGTGGGATTTGGTATAGCGCATTATACCGAAGTCTCAATGCGCTGGTGATGTGTGGACTAGGAACTCAATCAATGACTTTCTTCGCCCCTAACCCGGTACCAGCAACTCTCGTCGTCCACCACAGGGGCTGTCTGTTCCAGTACACCGGGGTATCCCCCTACTCGTCTCGAAGGATGTACTGGGTTCTTTATAGTGCACACGAGCCATTGTATACATGTGTATAAGATAGTCCTTATCCGAGAAGACTTGTTCTACCACCAGAACCATAGGTGAGCGTGCCGTTCGAACCAGCGCCGATATTATGGCTATAGCTTGCGGCGCCCCTGCTAACCGCTCGGCCATTCGACTCACCGAATTGTATGTTTGCACTCGTTTGTTGTATCTTAATCAATAAATACTAACTTCGAAATGTATTTTTTTTTTTTTTGTTGGAGGATACAAACAAAATTAATTGCACGGGAAAACCCCCAGCAAAATAGTTGCGCAGAATCGTAAATACTTGTGTTTCTAATTTGTATGAAGGCCTCAATTTTCTGCAAAAATATCCGTGGAAATCGGTTCATATTTTCGAAATGCGGAGACGGATTTCTGGGCCCAATAATTTACGCTGGGAATATTTTACAGCCTCACACATCCTGATATTATTTATTGCAAAATAAATAAAATTGCTTACCTCTCAACGAAAGAAAACCACAGGCCTAATATAACTTTGAGGATGGGCCGAGGGGACGAATCCCTTGAAGACGGCAAAATTTTTGAGTTCAGAAAATAATTCATTTGGCCCTAAACCCTC